AATTTAAATAAACTAGGTAGACGAATGCTGTTGAATAATCGTGTGTGTATTTGTGTACAGTATTCTAAGCCGCGCCCATTGCGTACAAAAGTGAATTACTTGCCGTAATATGATAAATTTACTGTTGGATTGAGGATTTCATCATGAGCTGACACTGGTCAGAGAACCATTGGAAAACCTGGGAGTGCTGGACTCTTCGTCAGTACGCACCCACTGGGGTTCAAACCAAGGACCTTCTGGTTACAAGGAGAGTTCGTAGACCATTAAGCCACTGGGACCCTGATCCAATGGCCAGTCCATGAATTCAAACTTCTGCCAATTCATGAAACAGCGCGACCACTTCGCAATGTCTTCTTCGATAAGTTACTGCCTCAACCTTCCGCACCCTACTGGTCACGGCTTCCCTATCAAGTACTCCCTGCAGGTTTTCCAATGGTTCTCTAACTATTGTCAACTCATGATGAAAACCTCCAACCAATCAAACAAAAGTTCTTACAAAACCAATACTTGAGAATTTACTACTATTTATTAATATTCCCTTGGATTCTGAATAGTAGCTTGAATTGCAGTAATCTTTAGCTGGCTCCACGACTGCCCATAAGCTATCGTCTCCTCCTAACAGTATCTACTCCATATCACCTTCAGATGCACAAATCGGTGTTTCCCTTCCGGGTTCCACTCGTGCAATGACTCAGCGGTCTCTTCAAGTGTGTCTCCGATCCATCTTCATTTACGTCGGGTTATTTGTTGAGCAATAGGTTCTTGATTGTTTAGTTGGTAGAGTTTCTTGTTGCTAATCCTTTCTGGCCGCTTCATCCTCAGAACGGTTAAAATCCGAATCTCGTTCTTTACACCAGATTTCGAAGTGATGAAGGTCTTTCTAGCCTTTCCAATACTGCCTTTGAAGTCTTTATATAATTTGTGTGTGAGCTTTGCGAGATCCTGACAACTGCTGGGAACATTGCTGATCCAAGAATCAGAGGAAAACTGAACTCATAACAGTCAACTTTCTAAGTGAACCAGTCTGTAGGAATCCAGTGTTTAATTCCTTCCAACATTTGATTCACACTATCGTTTAGCGATTTTGCGGTCCCAACTAATTTGTCCTAGAAAACCAGGGAATCATCATATTTTAGAAGTGGAATATAAATAATAACGTGGTCCGTAAACACAAACCACATTACTAAATTGCTTTGATAATAATTTTTATGAGTTAAGTGTTTACACTGGACACAGAATGATCATCGATCTAGGTGTTACCTTCTTAATGTTGACCAGTACACAGTATAATTCACACATACTTCAATCTGTAAAAATAGAAACTGAGGATTGTCTGCTATCTATGTTCACTTGAAGTCTTGTTTTTACTGCCGCTTCTTCTCCCAACTTGTTGGTTTTCTGCTGTAAGTCCTCGAGTTTATGTGACGTTAGACATCAATCGTTCGCAAAGTCCAAGTCTTTTAGAGTCTTCTTGTCGGTCCAACGTAATCCTGTCTTCCCACTCCCCACAGTCTGACGCATAATCAGTCAACCGTAACTAAGAATATCATTCATGGTGATAATATGTAGCCTTGTCTTACTCCTGTCTTCACTTCAAAGGCAGGCTTCACTCAGTTTTTCGTTGTAGATAACATGACATGTGACATCATCATCACCACTCAGCTGTTGAACGAGATTGATGGAGGCTGGAAGCACTGCACTCCGTCGTGTTGAAGTAGTTTCCAAACTGATTCGTGGTCAATTCCGTTGAAAGCTAATTCAGAATTGATGAAGATGAGATAGAAGATTGAAAGCCATTCCATATTCTGTTAGATGATGATGATGACTAGCGCTGCAATTTGATCATTTGAATCCAGCTTGTTCTCAGCGGAGTTCAGCACCCATGAGACGTTTTAGTGTCTTCAGGATGATGCGACTTAATATTTCGTTTGGCGTGAATGGGAGGATGATTCCGAGCGGGTTTTTGTCAAGGCTTGAGTCGCTCCTGTTTGATAGTTTGACAAGGTATCCTTTCTTCTAATCGGTAGGTACCTTTCCTCCCTTCTAAACTTTGAGTAATAGTGATGTGTAGGTACGGACAACGATAAAGTATGAATTCATTTGCTTTCAATGCAATAAATAAATATCTGTAACCATGCCAAACCGTTTCATCATCCTCTTTTCTGACGGTTCATCTCTCAGTATTGTTCATGAATTCCTTATTGAAATGAAATGTGTCAATTGTCAGTTGATAAAAACAGGAAAGGTGAAAAATAAGTCGTTAAATACTGGTCACAGACACACTGTATCTTTCAATACATCAAATGTTTTTTTTCTTCTTGTATGGAAGCGTTACTGGTATCCGATTAATAAGTGAAATATGAATATACACTCTATGTACTGTTACTTAGAATGGATTGCAGTGTTCCAGATGTATTCAAAATCTATCGCTGGTGAAACCATAATATCATATTTGGTTTGATGCACTTAATAGCTGCTTTACTTATGCGGAGTATTTTAGCAGAATATATTCTTCACCAAATAATATTGAAATCAAAACCTCTAGTTATACAGGCTAATAAATTTATCACTTAGTTTATAAAATGATGCATAATTATTTTGACTTGTCAGTACAGTCATGGTTCACTGTAGAATGTTGTCTCTTGCATCTCTCATCGACTTCCTCTTATATTGGTTGGTGACACATTGAGGAATTTGTGCATTTCAGGATTTTCATCATGAGCTGACATTAGTTAGAAAACCATTGGAAGACCTGGGAGTACTGGACAGCTGTTTCGTCCTAGTTTGAGACTCTTCAGCAGCGGGATTCGAACTCAGGGACCTTCTGGTTACAAGACGAGCTCGTATACCATTAAGCCCCTGGGACCTGGTGGTTGCGTACTGCTGAAGAGTCCCAAACTAGGACGAAACAGCTGTCCAGTACTCCCAGGTTTTCCAATGGTTCTCTAACTAATGTCAGCTCATGTTGAAAATCCTGAAACCAATCAAATCCCTACAAACCAACACTTGAATTTGTGCATTGATATAATCATAGGACCTGGTGTTAGCCTTAACGAATTAGCTGCCTCGTATTACTTGATCGGCGGGGCCATCGCCTTCTTCGACAACGGGCAATGTTAGCTGACATAGGATCAGGTTGGAAAAGAGCCAGTGGTGGTCAAACCAAAACGTGGCCTCATCAGTCAATGAAATCTACAACAGTTAGTTTAAGCCACATAGAGGAAGGTGTAGGCATCCTGGTTATCGTTCTCGGGACGGTAAGAACCTATTACTGGAGACAATTGGTGATATGGCTCAAAATCGTTCTCAATGGCGCAGATGCATCCACTCCTTGTGACTTATAATACCCAATAAAAGTATATGATTCTTCGATATTACTATTCTTTTTGCCTCATATCTCTACTTACTGTCTCTGTTTTGCATTTCTTTTTTACTTTTTTCTCTTGCTTTGTGTACTAAGTGAAGTGTGGTGATTCGAACTGCTGCACATCGGTGCACATTTGATCCGAATCAGCGAAGAGCATGATAATATAGAAAATGACTATCACTCATCAAAACAACTAACAAGATATTATGGATAAGACCCAATAATTAAAATATCCCTCAAAAATATAAAACTGACAAAGCATAGGATTAAATTCGTCATTGGCAAATTACACAGTTCAAAGTAAAATTTCACTCACTATAGTTTCTTTCCTTCATTAACCTGCTTGTCACCATAAGTAGAAACAATCAATCCATCACCATCAAGGTGGTATATACAACTGGCTGATATGTATATTTGGCAAGCAGTCACGTTTGTTTCTCTGATATAAAGCCAAGCACATCAGTGATGGGCCTAACTAGTTAACGGAATCAGTTCAAACCACTGGTATTTTGGCTACCTACTTGAGGAAACTGTTAATTAATATACACTAGGTAGTTGTCGTTTGATTTGACTAACAAGCAATAATGTTTAATATAAGTATAAAACTTGGGCACGTCATCAGTTAATATTACTGTGTGACACTGTGTGACTCATCAAAATAAAATCTTATCCATAATGGAGCAATAATGTTTAACGTGAGATGTTAGCAACTATACACCATCTGCATATATTTCATATTGTAACAGCAAAAGGCAAGCACTGAAGCCAATATATATTTTTTATAGTGATCATACCGCTATTTATATATATGCAGTTTTATATACCTCAACCAGTCATTGAGGGTGTGTTTTCGTCTACATTAAACGACGTGAAACAGAATGTTCAAAAAGATCTATGATATTCTATTGATAACGCAGTGTTGAACTGTGGGAAAGGTGTTTTCTCTCTGAAATGAAATTGAATGTCCAAATGTACATATGTTAATCAGTTGCAAGCGTAGTGTTGAACTGTGGGAATATGTGAGAAAAGAAGTTATTTTGTGTACCACAATTTGTGTACGATTGTAAAACATTTCAACACTCCGTAGACAAGCCCATGAAAATTATTGTATATAACAAATTAATAGAGCAACAGGTGTGTGTGTGTGTGTGTGATAATAAAGTATTTTATCTCTAATTGATGAGATTCTCAAGGTGTATACAATCTTAATTTACTGTTTGCAAGCGAATAAGTTCAGATAAGTTGTTTGTCCTAGATGTATTAAAGGGTAACAATATAATGAGAGTCAATAATAGCATTTACCATTTTGCATTGTGATGTTTGTCGCATTTATTGTCTGAGAGAAGTGAAGCTGTGACTCGCTTTCCTATGCAACCGATTTTCATGCAGTGGGGTTATGAATCCCAAGTGATGCTAGACCCATACAAGTTTTGAGTGCCTGATATAGCCAGTATCGCTTTCGGAAAAGTTCCGTACTGCCTTCCTGGTCGGCTTTCAGTAGCATTCAGAACTCTGTAAGGCACTGCGAGCTTTTTGTTATAAATTTTCAGTTTGTAATCTAATAATCTCAATTACAATATTTCTCCTGAATAGTTTCATGTTTCATGTTTATTATTTTTCTAAAAATAATTAGGTTAGTGATGATGAAGCAAGACGTCGGGCCAAACGACGCGAGCGCAATCGGGTTGCAGCAGCTAAATGTAGACAAAGAAGACAAGATCAAATTGAAGAATTGCAACATCGTGTTGATGCGTTGACTAGAACAGGACAAGAACTTCGTTCATCTCTTCATTCACTAGATTTAGAACGAGCTAAACTGGAAACGCTTATTGAAGAACACAAAGTGAGTACTGGTATCTGTATGAATAGCTCTATTACTACTGAGGAGATTTTTTTTCTCAAAATGTGAAATAAACACGAATGGTTGATTTGTCTGTATACCCTGTATTTGCTTATTTTATCTCTGGAATATCTTTCATTTAGCTTGACACTTAATTCGCCACTATTTTATTTATTTGATTTTTAGAAGCCTTTATTTAAAGCTATTTCTTCTGATGAGATCAAGACACCTGTGTATAGCTGAGGTAAAATCCGACACCATAGTAGATTAGTTCAAGTTGCGCAACAAAGAGGTGCTAACAAAACAGAAACAATGTCAGTAAAGACGAAAGAGTAACATGAAACAAAGACATTAGGAAAGAAAGAATGAAAGGATGTAAAAAAAATCAGCTACTGTTGTCTTCGAGAAAGAAAAGTTGTTAGTGTGTACTTGCCAATGCTCTTTGGTATCCAACCAATGGTCTAGGTTGTTCGATGGTTTTCACCTCGAATGCCCGAAACCACCCTTTTATGATTTATAGTTAAACTTCTAGGTTGTGAGGGTCAGTACCATTATAAGAATTATTCCGTCCTGTTTCCCAGTCTAGATATTAAAACCTCTAAAACAAAGGTTAATTTAGCAAGCCATTTACTTCTAATGTGAAATATTTTACTATAAAACTTTTTCTGGTTAGCCTGAGCACTTGTGACTCAGTCAATCAGTTATGAGTGTGAAATCACCCAACACAGTCTGGACAGTTAAGTGGTATGGTTAGCCTTCATACAGTAGGTGTAGCCTACTTCATACACCCTGTAATAATTTAATTATGCTTTAAGATGACTGCTTAGTGTTCAGTGTTAGCTGGTATTGGAGTAGGATTACGCTGAAAGAAAGTGTAAGTTGAGAAACCCAGGAAAGTGGAATCAACTTATGAAGACTTCAGTTTTAAGTGAACTTTAAATTTCTCCACGAGTCTACAAGTCACCTCTCCTGGTAACCTTGATTGTGATATGTTGTTTTTCTGTGTTTCCATATCCTCTGAGCTACTTGTATTGATGTTGATTGTTTCCTTGGCCTGACCCTTTGTGTGTGAGATTTCCTTCTTATCGATTGGTAAATTTTGTCTATATCGATGTGTCTATTGATAAACCAGGAGAGGTGACTAATAGACTCGTGGTGAAATCTAAAAGCTCATTTCAAACTGAAGTATGAGCTGAAGATGTTGCCTAGTAGAGCAATGAAAGCTTCTCAAATAAACCATCCAGCTCAGAGAACACAATTACGTCAAAAAGTTATCAAAAGGAACTAATGCGAAGTTACTTTGAATTGATGATATCCATCAAAACCATTAAATTATACATATTTCTCTGTTTATTCTGATTTCTGATTTCCTTTTGCCTATCTATAACATCTGTTACTATTTCTGCTAATTCTGATGTGCAAATATGGAATATGGGAATATGGGTCATTATATAGTGATAATGTCTATCAACCTTGTGGTGGTGGTAGTGGTGTTTGAATGCTTGTACATTTTTGTATGTCTGTACTTCTCACTGACAATTTGTCTGTAGTTTATGGTATAATAAGGACAGTCCAGTGTTGTATAATACAACTTTACTTTCGTCAACATTCTGATATTTCACTGAAACAACTGAAAACCACAGTTGTAATTGTACGCTGAAATGACCAATAGACTCAATTTGCTAAACTTACCTATCATTTTCTCGAAGTAGGCACTGCTTTTGTTAAAAAGAAATATTTTCCAGTTATTTTAGTTCGTTTTTCTTTAAATTTTAACTCATAAGCTTATCAGATAAGATGTTTAAAAACTAGTCTCTAGGTTAATTGATGTGACCCAGGATTTCTTAAAATTTTCCCGTATAACAACTGCTTAGATTATAAGCATGAGCGACATTTATAGAAAAAAATAGTCTAAATCTAAACCAATTTATTTGAGATCGTATTGTGAGTGCTAGAGAGTATGGGAGCTAGTATTACAGATTTTTGCCAGTTACTTTTAGACATCTAAGAATACACATCATGCATTACGATGATCGATTATTCTAATATCTGCATTTGCCATCCTGAATTTATTAACTAGACACCATGGTTGAATAGCCCACCCCATGTAGTTTAGTCGGTTAGCATTAGGGGAAAACTCCTAACGCAAGTGTCACATCACCGTCCAGTTCTGCTCAGTTTTCAATGCTTCTCATTCTTATGTAAGCTTGTGACTATGTTTATCTTGTATTCTGTGAATTGCTTACAAACCCAATAACTTACATACTACTTTTTTCTTGTTTCTGACTGGTCAAGTGAGTTTCAACATAGAACTTTGCACAGAAGTACAGCAGTTCAAGTTACCACACTTCATGTAGCACACAAGGGTGGAGGAAAGAGAGATAAAGAGGTTCAAAAGAACTATACCTGACAAAAAATGAAGGAGAAAAAATAGTGACACGGAAAAATATTAAGGTACGATGGGTATGGCAGATCACAAAGAATTAATGAATCTGGGCCATTGAGAAAGATTTTGAGCCATATCACCAATAATCTCCAGCTATTAGTTCTTATCATCACAAGGACTCAACCAGGCAGCCTTTACCTCCCTAAATGACTCACATCAACTGTGAAAGAATTCGTGGACTGATGCCAAGTTCAAGTTTGACCACCCCTAAACCTTTTCCAACATGATCGCATTTCTGAAAACATTGCATGTTGAGGAAGGAGATGGTTAGGCATGCACCAGGAATAAAGGCTACGGTTTCATTGGTTTGAAAATGATGGATGATCAGAATTCAGATTAATCATAGTATCTGACCACCATATGTGGATTAGACGACGAAATCAGTTTAAAATATCACTGCACATTCCTTGTTTTTCTACAAACTAATGATATGTTTCAGAATCACTTTGTAAAGAGAATTTCAGAATAAACAAATTTATGGGTATATAAAACCAGGACACATCTTTTCCTACAGCTCAATCGGTATTCCGTAAAAAAAGTTGTGTTTATCTTATTTACCCAATACCTCGGAATGCTGTATTTGTGTATCAGTTTATGCGTAAACTGCTTATAATCTTGTCCTCACTCATTCAGCGAATGCGTTCCCTTTTCCTGATCTTTCAGATTCTGAAAATCTTCATTATTCTTCGTGTAGTCATTCTATCTCGCATATATTACACTTTTATTACATTTCTTTTATGAAACTTTAGGTGTTGTGCTTTTCTGAAGTATCCAAAGTTCTGTTCTGATAAACAAATTTCAGATATTCACTACTACTGATAAGAATATTTTTATAAACATTAGTAATAAGCAAATACCGAAATGAATAGTGACTAATAATTGAATATTCCAAGTGAACTACTATTCATTCTTAAACACTCTGTTTGTATCATCTATCATACCTGAATTAGAACAGAAATAAAATACCAAGCACTCGTCTCTTCACAGGTGAGATATGATTATGTTTAGTCTTTGTCTATGAATGTCTGTCTTTGTGGTATTGTGCATACACTGGGATAAGTCGTGTTGAGGTTAGAAGTAGTGTAATTATTTTAAAAAAGTAAGTTAATTTATGAAAGCATCGATGATTCAGTGGTAGAATATTCTGCAACCACGCAAACAGTCCATTGTTCGATTCCCGGCCAGTGAACTTCTAAACCTCACCTGTCTATCTGGTAGTAAGACTGGTAAAGGAGGAAGGTTGGGCACCCCATAAAAAGAAAAACCACTGCCACTGAAACTTGAAAGCTCAAACTTGAAGGTTTATGCTCCACTTGGAACACAAAGGTATAAAATAGATCATGTAAATTCTCAGCGGCTAAAATGTTTCACATTTCATAAAACAACTCTTAAATGTGAAAAGTATTAACTGAAAAAGAATTAGATCGAAAAATAGTTAATCATTATTTATCTGAACGATATTGGTTAGGAGTATCTGTGGTGTTAAGTCTACTGCATGTGTCATTGTGTAGATGTCCTCACTCTTTTTTCTCCCCAAAGTTTTGATGATTTCCTCTCGTTTTTTCCTCTCTCTCTCTCTCACTCATCTTTGTTCGTTTTTATTTATTTCTGATGTACTCTTCCGAAGGATACTGACTATAACTTATGAATTTATTCCCAAGATCTTATGCTGATCTGTTTGTCCATATGTTTCATCGGTTTTAACTGTTGTATAGACACCAACTGACATTCGACATTTGTCTATGTGATTCATAATCAAAATCAGACACTACGAGAGGGTTACTGTCATATACTGCTCTCCTTATCCTCAGCTCTCCATGAACCTAATTGTACAGAAATTGATACTGAGACAAATGTATTGTATGAGTCAGCTACATAGGTAAGTTAGCGTAACTACATCGAATTACACAGTGTGTTCGACCTCCTGCTCTAGATGATGACGATATTATGCATTCTGTTAGTATCCTCATTTGATGACAGAATTGCAGTGTCTGATTTCTATGCGTGTAACACTAATTTCTCTTTTTGTAAAGAAAGTCAAGCCTTAAATCTGTGTGGTGGTGTGATACAGACAATGTGTGCCAACGGAATATGTTATTCTCACATATTCCCACAGTTCAATTCGGCATTAGCAACAGAATACGATATATCTAGTTCAACATTCTATTTGATTTTAGAGACAGAATACATTTCCAATGGTTACATACTGCATTAACAAAAGAATACTATGTATATTTTAAAATTCTGTTTCTTGACGTTTGATCTGAACCGAAATCACACACTGAGTGATTCGTTAACGAATATAAACTGTATAGTATATATATATAAACAGCAGTTTGATCAGTGGAAAATTTGCCTTGGTTTCCGTGTCTTGCCTTCTGTTGTTACATATGCACTTCACTTCACACTGTGAGACTCACTCATAATCCTCTTGAATGATTTAGCGATGTGTCCTATACTATCAGAAACTTTCCGTTGTGAAAACTGATTTTCCATGAAACTAACAATTGATGTTTTGTTAGAAAGGTGACACTAGGTTTAAAAGCAAAAATTAGAA